CCGGCAAACAGGACCTGAGTGCAGCAGCAGTCTAAAAGCTTGGGGAAAATCTACTATACCTTTGCAATACCTCAGAGGAGTTATGAACAGCTTTCCTTAACTGTTCCAGCCTGTTTTGCAATGCTGGTGCCATTTCTGAGAACTTAAGAGGAATCCTGCTGGATCATCTTTCTCCAACATCCTGTTCTCGTTGTCCACCCACAAGCAGGACCTGAGTGCAACCGCACCTGCGCTTGCTTGTGTTTGCCTGCAATTAATATTTAGAATCATCTTGCTTCCGGTGCTGGAGGTATCACACAGCCATCTGTCTGTCTGTCGGCAAGAGTTTCAGGGTTTGTTTGTTTTGTTCTTGTGACAGCTGAAAGAGTCGAGGAGGCTTGGGGGAGCTCCCAGCAGGAACTCTAAGGGCTCTCTTAAGAGCAGTTGAAGGAAATGTCTTACAGCGAGAGGGAGCAGTTTATCAGAGTTAACTCTGATGTAAAACATTCCTTTAACCACTTCTCCACGCACTCCGCTACTACTCTGTGTCAATAAAGATAACAAGTGGGTTTCCAAGCTGGGACACAGATCCAGGGTTTTTGCCTCGGCGTTTCCAGGGTGGATAGGAACGCACAGATTGCCGCTGATTTAAAGCATGTGGGGAAAACCCGTGGAGAATTATATTTCTTTCATGATTGAATGCTGGTACTCGGTGTTGTGTGGGGAAGCAGTCACTTGGTTTAATAGGCGCACAGCTGGTGTTATCTGAAAAATAATCATTATGATAGAAAGCACACATTTTTCATGTTTTCTGTCAGGTCTGTCAGGGTATGTTCTGCGCAGTTGCCGTATTCTTCCTCTGACAGTCCTTGAATTAGCAGTTTACCACTTTTTTAAAAAAGCACAATGTACAAAATATTTTTAAACCAAACAACCCGCACACTCCTTGTGTAACTGAACATACATAATGAAAGAGGATCGGTAAAACAAAAAGAAAAAATAGGGAAGGGTGTGGACCTTCTTTGCTTCTGCAAGCCGCTCCCAATTTGCAGACATGCAATCATACCATTGGAGCAAATGTATTTTGGGACAACTCACTGGCACTACATCCACCTGATTGGTTGCCTGATGTTGCCCAAGGGCATCCGATTGGCCATTGCGCAAACAGGATGCTGGGCTGGAGATGGACCATTGGCCTGATTCAGCAGGGCTCTTCCTATGTTGTTATGATACTTGTAATGAAGTTCTTCACCAGGGATGAGGAACCTGTGGCCTGCCAACCTTCTTGGACTACATCACCCATCACCCCCATTGGTCATGCTGGCTGAAGCTACAGATGTTCAGTGACATCTGGAGGAACACAGTCTCCCCATCCCTGCTGTAAAGAATTAAGTGGCCCTATGTATGAATAATAATAATAATAATAATAATAATAATAATAATAATTTATTTATACCCCGCCCATCTGGCTGAGTTTCCCCAGCCACTCTGGAAGGCTCCCAATTGAGTGTCAAAAACAATGCAGCATTAAATATTAAAAACTTCCCTGAACAGGGCTGCCTTCAGATGTCTTTTAAAGATAGGATAGCTGCTTATTTCCTTCACATCTGAAGGGAGGGTGTTCCACAGGGCGGGCGCCACTACCGAGAAGGCCCTCTGTCTGGTTCCCTGTAACCTCACTTCTTGCAATGAGGGAACTGCCAGAAGGCCCTCGGCGCTGGATCTCAGTGTCTGGGCTGAACAATGGGGATGGAGACGCTCCTTCATGTATATGTATAAAGAAACACTTTTTTTTAATTGACTGTTGACTAACAGGTATCAATAACTTTGCTGTGGTTATTGTGAGACGCAAAAAGTAGCCATAACAAATCCTTTTAAAATATACCTTTCCTCCAATTTCATCTTAACTATGGTCCTTTAACCCTTAGTGGTGATTTGTCTTTCCCTTCCAATGAAATTTCTCCCCACTGCAAACTTTAACCCTGAGAACATTTTCTTCTGGAAACTTGCCGTGCCAGTTATTTCAGCTACTTTGGACACAGGGCAAACCATCTCATACACAGTCTGATATTACCCACATTCCTAGCTTATAGATGTAGTCATGCGGGTCTCATCGAGAAGACGTGCTTGAATCAGAGCTTGACACTGCCAAGTCACAGTTGCTTTTAAAATCACTCCAGTAGCTTTTAGCTCCTTCTGGAGGCCTGTTAACCCAGCCGTGCCACATGTGCATGTTGAGCTGGATGGGGCACAGGCTTCCAGAATAAAAGTTGATGGGTAATAATAATAATAATAATAATAATAATAATAATTTATTACTTATACCCCGCCCATCTGGCTGGGTTTCCCCAGCCACTCTGGGCGGCTTTCAACAAAACACTAAAATACAATAACCCATTAAACATTAAAAGCTTCCCTAAACAGGGCTGCCTTCAGATGTCTTCTAAATGTTTGGTAGTTATTTTTCTCTTTGACATCTGGTGGGAGGGCGTTCCACAGGGTGGGTGCCACTACCGAAAAGGCCCTCTGCCTGGTAGGATAGGAAAGCAAGATCTCTAGTGTCAGGACTTGAGGAAAACGATCCATTGTTGTGGAGTGGATTTACTAGGATTTATACCTCATCCTTCAACAAGTTTCCGGGGCAACTGACTCAAATCTTTAGACTGGTCCAAACCCTCATTCAGCCATGGAATGACCTTTGTCTCGTTACGATTGAACCTACCACCCGAGGTGGTTGTGTGTTGAATCGGGAAATTAATGTAAGCAATTAAATAAAAATAAAGTTGATTTGAATCTTGTCTTTTGAAGTTTGGATCCAAGTGGGCTATCATAATTTATAATTAATTATGAACTAAAGCTGGCAATTCTCCCCACTCCAGACTCCCTCCCACCCCCACTTTCTGGATCTTAATCATACGAATGCTTCTCACATCCTAATTAAGAATGTAAGAACGAGCTCTGCTGGATCAGTGCAATGCTCTGTTCTCACTGTGGCCAAACAGATGGCTATGGGGAGCATGTAAGTAGGCCTAAGTGCAACTATGTTCTCCCTACTTGAAATTCCCAGCAAGTGGTGTTCAGAGGCATAGTGCCTTCAACTATTCAGAGCTGCACCACATCTAGCAGACTGCTTGCCATGTTACTTCCAATCACCTTCTTGGTGCTTAACACCCTCATCTCCCAGACAATATGTCAGGAGGCATTTCAGAAATCTAGCATTTCTATTCTAGGGTCCACATGGTAAGGAAAAAGATATATAAAGGAGATCTCTCACAGTATGTTAGCAAACATTCTGGACTAAGTGTGCCATCTAAGTGTGGCATCTAAAAAACATGTTTCGCTCTTCTGCATTGCAATCCCAGTGAGGTCTTCTTGTTACTTGTTACTGGATTTGATATCCCGCTTTATCACTACCCAAAGGAGTCTCAAAGCGGCTAACAATCTCCTTTCCCTTCCTCCCCCACAACAAACACTCTGTGAGGTGAGTGAGGCTGAGAGACTTCAGAGAAGTGTGACTGGCCCAAGGTCACCCAGCAGCTGCATGTGGAGGAGCGGGGAAGTGAACCCGGTTCACCAGTTTACGAATCTACCGCTCTTAACCACTACACCACACTGGTGGAATTCCACAGGTGGAATTCCTGAGTTTGAATAGGCCCTGCCAAGAGGGCCCATCTAGTTCAGCATCCTGCTTCTCACCGTAGGCAACCATGTATATGCCTTTGGGAAGTCCACAAGTGGGACATGAGAGCAAGGTTGCTCCCCAGCAATGGGCATTCAAAGGCATACGGCTTTTGTTCTTTGAGCCTGCATATAGGCATTATAAATAGCAAGTTGGTGGGTGGCAGCACATATTGAGGCAGCAGATCCTAGAGTAAAATGGTGTGCCTCTTCGCCGCCCCACTTCCTTTCACTTTCCAAACTCACTTTGCTTTCGGACTGAGGTTGGCAGCTTTACACTGTGGCAGCTGATGTCACAAGGATGTCATTGCTGCCATCTCCTGATGATGTCATATCACTATGACAATGGCAAAGCCAGTCCCCTCTGAGGTGCATCTTGTGCCATCGCTAGATGCTTTTCGACAATTGGTCAAGATACTTCTCTTTATCCAGGAATTTGGCTGTGTGGATCTTATTCTGCCACCTGGGCCCCATGCTGAGCTTGAGGTCTAAAATGTGTTTGATGCTCTATGAATATTGAAGACAGGGCAAAAGCAGACCGACACTAATATGTGTGTGTGTGTGTGCACGCGCGCACACATACGGTTTTCTCCAGTGCAATTTTTCTAGAAAAAGGTGGAAAAACTCACCACGAACGCCCCTCGTTCTCTTACCATGGCAATGGCGCCTATCAGAGAGCTGAGTTCCAGCTAAAAAAAATATCCCTGGTTTTCTCTAATACGATGCGTTTTGTACATTGTACGTATTTCAAAATCTGGAGACAAAAGTTATATAAATAAGATGTTGAGCTATTTTTAAGGAAATTCGCCAAAATCTACACTTCCGACTTTTGTTGCCATGCGTCCAGATTTTCCCAGACATTTAAGTGTTTTCTGCCTGGGCTCTGTTTCCGGCAGCCAAATCCTGGACGTACGGCGGCAACCCTACTGATGTACATGTTTTCATGTGCACTTTTCCATACTATGACATTTTTGTACGCATTTGGCTGGTTTGAGCCAATGAGAGCCAGCGTGGTGTGGTGGTGAAGAGCGGTGGACTCGTAATCTGGTGAACCGGGTTCACTTCCCTGCTCCTCCACATGCAGCTGCTGGGTGACCTTGGGCTAGTCACACTTCTCTGAAGTCTCTCAGCCCCACTCACCTCACAGAGTGTTTGTTGTGGGGGAGGAAGGGAAAGGAGATTGTTAGCCGCTTTGAGAATCCTTAGGGTAGTGATAAAGCAGGATATCAAATCCAAACTCTTCTTCTTCTTCTTTGGAAAACTTTACCACAAAATTCTGAAAGGTGCAAATATTAAAGGATTAGCTGCATTTTGGTTTGCAGATTCACTTGGGCAGTGTGAAAGACCATGACTCAGTGGTGGAGCATATGCTTTGCATGCAGAAGTTCCTAGGTTCAAGCCCCAGCATCTCCAGCTAAAACTGGGAGAGAACCCAGTCTGAAACCATGGAGGTGGACCGATGGTCGGACTCAGGATAAGACAGCTTTGTACGTTATCTTGGTCTCTCATAGAAATGCAGACCAAATGAATTTCTCCTCTGGTTGTGTAATGAATCTCTTGAATCCCTTTCAGAACCACATTTAAAGCCTTCTGAGGAGGGTAGTTATTGGGTTAATCTTCTTCAAAAATTTGGATTTGATTGTGTATCCGCGGGACCACACCTGCTGTGCTGTGTAATATAGCCACCTTATAAATTGCACAATAGTTTTCCTTATAATTGTTTCACCACCTTTCCCCTTTAAATGGGTTTATAATTTGTTTCATTTCGTCATTAGGCTCAGAAACAAATGAAGGTGGGGAGCGACTGGCTTCTCAGTTTAGTTTAGCAAGATGTATAGATTGGAGTCTTGCTGTAGAAATACATCACAAAGATTGCATTCAACAACCATAACACGTGCTGATGAACCCGAGATTTCATTTCTCCTGCACTGTATAAGCGCAGCGCACTATGAAAGGAGAAAGTATTTTGACTTCTGAAACCTTATTATTGAAATGTAGCCTTTCATTCTTTTTGGCCTGTTGTGTGTTCATATTTGTACTTTTCCTTGATTATTTCATAGCAGGAGCATAAAACGTATTTTTTCTTCCAGTTTGGTTTAACTCTGCTGTTAGGTTTTGAAATGTCAGTGAGGTGGTTGTTGTTGTGTGTGTTTTTAAATGTGTGTGTGTGTGTGTGAGAGAGAGAGAGAGAGAGAGAGAGAGAGAGATATGCAGCCATGATGTTCGGTAACAAGCAAGACCATTATGTATTTCCATAATATATGGATATTTTGACTATATCCTAACCTGAACCCTTGTCGTGACCAGAGTGGTGCTTGTATACATTTTGTTAATCAAAACCAAAGGCTTTTTGTTATTTACTGTAAAGCCATTATTCTGTGAGCATTGGAACTTCCTAGTTACAGAGAGGTAAAGGCAAGTGCTGTATTTTCCCACCTATAAGACGCTCCCATGTATAAGATGCCCCCTATTTTGGGGGACTCTGATTTAAGAAAATAGGGGGGAGATGGCCCCATATATAAGACGCCCCCAAATTTTGGACATTATTTTTAAGGGGAAAAACCTAGTCTTATACACGGAAAAAAACGGTATTTCTTAATGCAGTAAACCACTGCTAGAATATATAATACTGACCACTAGCTTTGATAGAACTTTTTATATTTATAATTTTATTGAGATTATTATAGTAAATTGAAGTAAAATAAGAAAAAAGAAAGAACCAAAAAAGGGAGGAAGAGCTTGGATAAAGTTTAAATAGTTTATTTTTTATTTGGAAAGGCTGACAGAGGACAGGCCTGTCCTTGATTATTAAGCTAAGAACAGGGCCCCCTTACTCAAAACCAGTGTATCTATAATTGCTTGATGCTGTTGATGGCTTCCTCCATCATTTACTTTTATTTATTTAACAAGATTTATATGCCACTTAAATATCAAACCCTCTAAGCAGTTTACATAACATATAAATAAAATATATATTAAAACTATACCCTGCTTGTAGACTTCCCAGTTGGGTAGTTGGTTGACTACAGTTGGAACAGAGTTTGCAACCAAATGAACAGTTTTAATGGCATATGACTGACCAATTTCCCAAAATGGTTGGTTGTAAATGTGGACATTGTCTGGTGCATTTTTTTATGCACCCTTGTTCTCCATTGTTCTTCTTCTCTGAAGCGCAGACAACATGTGATGATATCAAACTAGTTTTGTAGATATCCCAAGTAAAGAATATTGCAGAAATGTCTACCTTGCACAATCAGGAATAATGTAATATTGTTTCCTGGAGTTTTTTTTTTAGTTCTGCATTCTGGCCACAAATAAAGCAGCATCTCAACTTAGAATCATAGAATTGCAGAGTTGCAAGGGACCCCAGGAGTTATCTAGTCCAACCCCCTGAAATGCAGGAATCTCAGCTAAAGCATCCATAACAGGTGGCCATCCAACCTCTGCTTAAAATCCCCCAAGGAAGGAGAGTTCACAACCTTCTGAGGGAGACCATTCCACTGCTGAACAGCTCTTACTGCCAGAAAGGTTTTTCCCGTATGTTTAGTCGGAATCTCCTTTCATGTAACTTGAAGCCATTGGTTCGAGTCTTGCTCTCCAGAGGAGGAGTAAACAAACTTGCTCCATTTCCCATGTGACAGCCCTTTAGATATTTGAAGATGGCTAGCATATCCCCTCTCAGTCTCCTCTTTTCCAGGTTAAGCCTTATAAGGCTCGGCTTCTAGACCCGGAAACATCTTGGTTGCCTTCTTCTGCACACTTATACCCAGGGGGCACGTTGCTTAGCTTGAACGGCTATGTTATTTTCTTGTGCCCAGTGACAATTGTCATGGGGGCACCAGGTCTGCGCAGACCAACCTTATGGGTAGAAATGAGACACGGAATAATCTTCAGTGTGGAGCGGAAAAGGGAATGACATGGGTTAATTGCCAGGGAGCGGTTCGAGAAGGTCCTTACATTAATTGCCTAGCCTGAGTGACATAATATTTGGATTTCGTAAGTGCTGATAAGATTTGCTGTCCTCGCTAAGGAGCCGATTAAAACGTGCCTTACGACGGCTGACGGGGGAACTTTGTCTGTAATGACAAGTGCTTGACTGTAGCTGAAAATGATGAGCTTGCCCCAGGGAGACATCACCACCCACTTGAGCGAGATCCATGAAGGCTTTATGACCCGTTTGAATCCTGATCGAGCATCACTGTCTTGACCCATGGGGAGCCAATTGTCTGGAATAGTTGCTCTGTCAGACTGAGCGATGTGCTTAGAATCCTTCCGCAGCCTGCAAGGTAGCTGGATTGTGTGTGCAGCGCGCACGGTGAATTATCAAAATGGCATGAAGATTAGGACCGATATTTTATCAACAGGCATCAGCTTGTTGCGTGAGGGAGGAACTCTTCCCCTGCCCTCTTTTTCCAGCTACTGGCGTTGTAAACCCATTCAGAAACATCCGTTTAAAGAGACAACTTCCTAGCATCTGATAATGCTTTCTCTACACACACTTGTTTTTATTAAGCAATGGCTTTCCCTTACCCATATTTTCTCGCACTCTGTGCAGCAGTAATTATGACAGAGAAATCCATGGGAAGAGAATGAAATCCCAGGCGCGGGGGTTGCACTCTGTATACCTTGTGAAGTTATCTGTTGATTAGATTTGATTTCCCTCCGTGCCGTGCTCAAGGAAGGGAACAGAATCACCACTGCCCAAAGTGATTACAAGAAATCAATGCAAATGGATGACCAACACAAAGAGTCAATCATCATATGCAGAATTATTCTTGAGGAAAAAGGGTTTTGCTGCCGGCTTTGTGAAAGGGCAGCAGAAATGGCTATAGAGTTGGTTTTTGGCCCTTATCTACGCTGCAGGTTGTCCCTGCTTATCAACATGACCTGTTCCTGTCCTTGGCATTTCACAGATGTGTGTCCTAGAACAGTATATACTATGCCTAGGAGTGGGGAACCTTTTTCATCTGGAGGGCCACATTCCATTATTCTTCAGCCTTTTGAGGGCCACATACGAGTGGTGGGCAGGGCCAGATGCAAAAGCAGGTGGGGCGGCAATGAATATAAATTTGCTCTCCCAGCAGCTGCCACCCGAGGCAGTTGCCACATTCCGCACAATGGTAGGACTGGCCCTGGAGAGCAGCAAAACTATGGGAGCAAGTCCATATAGCATTCCAGTACATACCACGCCACATGCCTTGTAGACCACATTCAACATGATTCGTGACATGGACAGCGCGGTAGCAGTTTTACATTTAAAGATAACCAACCCCCTCTTTTTCGTGGCTTGGGTATGTGACCACAAAATTGCACATGAATTTTGAGTTTAATCACAGGCCATGTTCCCGCACGGGAAAGCATTCAGGGGCCGCATGCCAGTGGACAACGGGGTCAGAGCCAAAAGTGGGCTAAGGAACAGCTTTATTCAGTAGGCTACAATCATTCAGAAATTTCTGCGCACTCACCCCAAACACACACCTCTCCATTCCGCGGAAGCAGGAGGCACTATCATAGTTCAAGGACACATTCCTCCTGAGGCAAAGCACTCGAGGCTGGTATGGAGGAGGCCTGGTGAAAGGTGCGGCCTTGGAAGGGGGAGTGGCCTGGGCAGAGTCCGAAGGGCCAGATAGGAAAGCTTGGAGGGCCGCCTCCCTTCCTCAGGCCTGAGCTTCTCCATCTCTGCCAGTCATTCAAATGTAGTACTGTGGTACCTCTGGTTAAGAACTTAATTCGTTCTGGAAGTCCGTTCTTAACCTGAAACTGTTCTTAACCTGAGGAACTGCTTTAGCTAATGGGGCCTCCCGCTGCTGCACGATTTCTGTTCTCATCCTGAAGCAAAGTTCTTAACCCGAGGTACTATTTCTGGGTTAGCGGAGTCTCTAACCTGAAGCGTCTGTAACCTGAGGTACCACTGTATGTTGTGGGAAAATACATGTGTGTGTCGGTGTGTTTCCTTTTTCCATTGCTTGCTAGATTTATGCAGATCAACTTTACTAACACTCTTGTCAGGGGTGCCAACTTAAATAAAATATTTGGAGGGGGGCAGTTGAGCCCCACCCCACATAATTGATCACATGATGCAGTTCACGCACAACATTGGAAAGCCAATGCCTATCAATTTGGGGGGTGCGGGGGGTGCTTTCATATATTTTATTGGGGGTCCAAGGACGCCTTGGCCGCTAGGAGTTGGCTCCTATGAGTCTTGTGGAGTTAACTTTCCATACTTAGTGACAGAACTCTAGAATCTTTATTATTCAGAGCCTCCTAAAAAAGGTAGAGCAGCTTTGTTTGTGATTTTTCCTCTTCAGCTGCTGTGGAATGATGGTTATCTTCTAATTTCCCCAGAAGAATGACTGCGGTAGCTGTTCAAAATTGTCCCGGCATCTTACACTAGGCTAGAGTGCTGTGTGTAT